GGGAGAAATCAATGAAGTCAGATGCTAATTTCACAACTGGAAACATGTGAAATATGTCTCATTTAAATGGCAGAGCAGCAGCTGGCCCATTTCTCCTGGTGTGTTTCTGCTTGTGGTGATAAAGCTTCGTGGTGCAGCAGTGGAAAGCATCAGGTGGGGGCCTGAGACAGGCAGGGCATTAGCCCCTTCCCTGGGTTGGTTTTCCTGGCTGCAGCATGCTGATATCCTGGCTCCGCTCCCTGTTTATGAAAAAGATTTAAGCTTCATTTTTCAAATTGTTCCCGTTCCCCAGGAAAGTTAATTTTAAGCCCTTCCAGGGTTTTTAATTAGTATGTTAGTGCTGGTTCAGGCTCCTGTCCCTCCTGCTGCAGAGAGGGAACAGTGCTCTCCCTGAGCTGTGCCCAGGCTGGAGGATGCTCGGGGTGGTCGCTGCTCTGCTGCCTGGGGCTGGAGGGGTTATTGGTCGGACTGGCTGGTGCTGGAGGGCGATCCAGCCTTCCCTGAGCTGAGGTGGGGAAGGCATGTGCTGGGGCAGTGCTGCACAGCTCGTGCACGGTGTCTGGCAGGCGTGCGGCTGGGCTGAGGGGGCTTCTTCAGGGGCAGCAAAAGCAGTTTTGTACAAACTGCAGGGGACTGTTTTAGGTTGGGGTTTGACGCAAACTGCTACCCCTGTTCTTTGTGTCCATGCGTGGCTTCCTTCAGAAATGGCACAGGAGGGAGCAAACTTTGGCTTTTCATCTGTCCCCACTTAAACCTCTCCAGCCCCGGGTAAGGCGAGGGACTCCTTTAGCACACGGTGTTCATTCGCAGTGAAGCCTCTGGCAGCTGTTTTCCTTGGATGCGTTCCCTAGATCAAGAGTCAGCACATGCTCACCACGAGACCTATTTGGTAAATGGGTTGAGAACAGAGGTAATCTTAGACTAGTTTGGTTTGCATATGAGGCCTGACACAGGCTCAGTTTGTATTTGAATACTGCTTGGGAGCTGAAGTCTGCTGTTAGGTTCATGCAGCTCGTGGTCAGATAGCTGTCACATGAACATGGATGTGCACGTATCTGTTGTCTGTGTGAGGATGACCCTTGTACCATGGATGGGGAGGGCAAATGGAAGGGATTAAGTCATTCATACAAGTGGATAAATGAATCTGTTTCATGTGTACTCAAAGATCCTTATGCCTATGCCTTGCTTATCTGTCCTAGAGAAACAAACCTCTGTGCCCAGCTCCTCCAAAAACTCCTGCCTTTTTCCCAAAGCCTGCCATTATGAAGAATTTTGGATGTTCTGAATGAAGTCACAGCGTAAAGGTATGGGGAGCCAGCTTGTCCCCTCCAGTACAGATGTCCCCTTTGCAGAAAGGGTGGACATCTGTATCAGAATATTGCAGCTGTGTTTCTCTGATACCAGCAACTATGTTTAAATTGCTATCATCATAGAACTCTCCTTTACCTTACTCAAAAGATCACATGAGGTGATTTAACCCGATATTCTGAGTTTAACAGGAAGATTAGCAGCTGTTAAAATGCAAAGTCATATGCCATTGATAATCTATCACCAGCAGGAATTCCTGGGTAATTGTCACTTAGTCAACATAAGGTGTCAGGGGATGCCACCAGCAGCCCTGCTGGGAGGGAGCTCGTGCCCTGGACACCTTCCTGCTGCATCTGCTTTTCTGAGCTTTCGCACCAGTGCTGCTTGGTGCATTTCTAGCTGTGATGGTGATGATAGTGGTGCAACCCAGGCTGACCCCTGTTTGGCCCGCTTGGGACCCAGCCCTTGGTGCGAAGCCCTATAGTGCTGCTATTTCAAAGGCCCTTTTCTTCTTCCTGCTACTCAGATGTAAATTAATTTTTGTCAGAGCTGTCTGACCACTGTGACTGCCAGTTAAATCAATTGAGACAAATCCCCTTTATTTTAAGGAAGATCTGAGCCCTGGGCTGTATGTAAAGTGGAGGAAAAGGGAGGTTCTGCTGTGTGGGTTCTCGCAGCCCAAGCCTATGCTGTGTGCCAGCTGGGGAGCCCAGGACGGAGGTGCTGTGTTGTATGCTGGCTCTGCCTGCTCCGCCCCAAGGAGCACACCTACAGTCTTTGGCCTCTGGAATTGCAGCTGCACATCGTTGGGCACACTTCTAAAGCTGCAATGCAGGAGTTGCTCAGAGAAAACCCAGCTCCAGGAATTGGTTTACAAAAAGGAAAACGATTTGTGCCTAAATGCCCACACAGCGTTTTGTGCGTTCACCCGCTCCGATAGCAGGGGATTGGGCATCTCATCTGAACAGCACGGAGCTCAGTCCTGTGCTGCCTGGGATTTGTGGGTGCTTAATAGCAGGAATCAAATGCTCCTGTACTAGCAGAGATACAACGTAGACCTGAATGCATGTTGTCCTTACCATGTGCTATTCATATGGAAGAATAATCCATAAATCAAGATATTACAAGGTTATTTAGTGATTCTTCAACTGTTATACATGTGTCAACAACAAATAAAAGAAGCATTTGATAGCATTAGACCATGTGCCAGGAAATCCTCCTGGTTCCTTTCCTTACCTAAAGAAGGGGAGACCTAAGGCTATTTGGATTAGCACGCTGTGCTGTGATGCTCCTGCACAGGCAGTGAGCTCTTCCTAAGCACTGCCAAGAATTTGCTTGTCACAGAGATGTGTAATGTGATTGCAGTGGAAAATACATGCAAATGTTTAGCAGCCTCTTTTTTTTTTTTTTTTTCTAGAGGGGAAGAGATCTTGATTAAACAGTAATTAAGAGTGTTTTGGACAACACAAGGCAGTCTCTCTCCCAGGTGCTTAATAAGTGCCAAGACTGTTGAGTGAAGTGTTTATTTAGCATAGTAATAGGAGGCAGTTATTGCCAGGCTCACCAGAACAGTCTGTTGTATCTGTAACCTTGGGCAGCGTGTGCTGCGCGCCCTGCCCCATCGAGGGCACTGCATGGGCAGAAAAGCCTCTGCCTGCTGCCTGTCGGCGCTGCGGCCGCTTCCCTGGAGCGAGGTGGAGGACGAAGCTCTCCCTGCCCGGGGAGGACGGCAGCGGGCACTCAAGGTGGGCCCAGTGCTGCAGGAGGTGGGACTGGGCTGTGGCCCCCGGGGGTGACGGCCGGGTCTGTCCCTCGGCATGTCTGCGGGCGGCGAGCCGGGGGCTGCCTGCGGTGGTCTCCCCCAAATTACCACCCTTGGGTGCTGCCCCTGGCAGTCGGCAGGCATGGAGCAGCCTCCCTGGCACGTCTCCCTGGCCCACCGCTCCCGGGTGGGACACAAGCTGCCTCACGGGTCTGCCTCTGGTCCCTGCTGCGCTGCCGAGATAGATGCTGCTAGAACAGGTACTGGGCAGAGGGTTTTTTTTTTCTGCAGCAGTGGGGTTAAAGGGTGGAGAAAGCGGCTTGTCTCGGATTGCTGGTATTTTTTTCAAAGATGCTGTTTGCATTGATAGATTTTCGGATGATGCTCTAGCAAAAAAAAAAAAAAAAAAAAAATCAATGTCCCAGTGATTGTACCAGGAAGGGCAGTCGATTGGTGAAAAAGCTGCAGCAGGCGTATTGGGAAATGGATTTTTTTTCTGCCCTCCAGACATTAACTTGAAATTCTTTGAAATGAGGAGAAAACAATCTGTGTCAGAAATGAAAAATTAAGGAGGTTAATGTGGTGCCTTTTCCACTTTTAATTTCTTTGAATTCCAGGATGTCCTTGGAGGCTGGTGGGGAGCGGGGTGGGAGTGCTCGGTTGCTGAGCCCTGCCGGTTCCCCCTGCCCCTCTGGGCAGGCCCGTGGGTGCTGGCTGTGCCGTGTCACCGCCCGGACAGGCTGGCAGCGAGGCTCTGAGCATCACGGCACCCGGGAAAGCTGTTGCCCACGCAGTTGTGCAAGACCATTGTTGCCGGGTGTGTAAGAGCAGATGGGGAGGACATGTTGTGGGTAATCTTGCTCTTAGTGTTGCAATAGCTGGATGTCTTTAGAGATCAGCTGCTTGACTGGGGTCACTTGCTCAACAGTGTTAATGAGCAATAATTTAGGGTCTCTGAGGGGGAAAGCGGTGTAAAGTGTTTGGGCAGGGAAGTGTTTCCTGGTGTCTGAGATGCTCCCTGTTTTTCTGCAAGGACACATGCTGGTGCGCACACACGTGTGCATGTACACACACATGTATGCTTCCCGGTGCCCGCTCCCACGCAGGTGGCTCCTTCACCCGTGGCACAGCGTGGCGCTGGCCAGGCTCCTGGTCAAGGGCTCTTCGGGGGGCCGAGGGGGGAAGCCAAGCAGCAGATTTCATGCCGTTGTTTTTCTGCTTTGGGTAATTGTCTGAGCTTCAGCCTTTCTAAACAAAATGCTTCTTTCTTTCCTGTGGGGACCACTTTTCCCAGTCCCTTGGGTGGTCTTTTTATGCAGGTTTTTATCTACTCTGTGGTAGGCTATAGGCAGCTCTCCAGAGAGCCGGAAAACCCTCTGCTTGCTTTACCCTACTGCAGAGGGGAAAAAAAATGAACTCCCAGAGTCCTGGTTTTGGGCAATTAAAAAGCAAGATGAACATTAAAAAGGAACGTAAATAACAGGAGGCTTCTCATCCCCACTGAGCTGTGGAGGGGTTGATTGCTCCATGTCCCCAGAGGCAGCTGGTGTATCCCTGTCTCCCCTAGCCGCAGCAGCCTGCTGAGGCCGGGTGGATGCAGACCTGCCCTGCCCCGGGCTCCCCAGCAGCTCCCGCCGCCTCCACGCAGGGCACTTCCAACTTCCCGGAGCCGTTTGCAGATGTTCTGCTACCAGACCCTCCAGAGATGCGGGATTGAAAAGCTCTTTGGGTCCAGCCTCGGCAAGGGGCCAGGCAGAGCAGGCAGCCTGCTTGGGGAATGCTGCCTCTTTTGCTGGCCATGCATTATCTGCCAGCAGATGATTGCTTCAGATGCATTTATCATTGTAAATTATTGCGCAGGGTGCACCAGGAGTAGTCAGCCCAGCAGCATGTGCCAGCACTGTTCGCCTCCAGCTCTTCTATAAACTTCTGCATCGTTGCGTAGGGCTGGCCATTGAAGCCCCATGGTGTTTATCCAGGTTCCTGCTTCTCCCCAGGAGGCCTATGGACCCCAGTGTTGATCATGGGGAAGACTTGGAGGTCCTGTCCTGCCCCACCAGTGCCTTTCTCAGCCCCAGGCTGGTCTAACTGGTGAGTGACCAGGGCTGGGGGAGGATGGTGGCTGGGATCAGGATCTATTGCTTGTTTCCTTGTGAGAGGTCAAAGGGGACTGTAGTGTTTGATGGTCATGTGTGGATAAAAAGGTTGGAGGACCAGACAAAATTAATGTTACTGTTAAGAAGCTGCAGTGATTTTTGCATGCACGTTTTTAAATATAGCGACTGCTCTTCTAGTCAAGCCCCGTCTTGTAAAAAAGCAGAATAAATCTCGAAAGAGGGTGGGAGGAGAAGGTGGCACGAAACAGCTTCTGTGCAAGGAAGGCTAGAAGAGCAGGCCTATCCAGCTGAGAAAGGAGTGCTGTGTTGGTCCTGGGGGTGGTAGGCAGCTGTGTGTAGTTGTGTGTGGAGGGCAAAGGTTCATTACAAAACAATTAATTGCTCGCTTGTAGTGTAAGAGCTAGGGGTGTGTAATAAAGTTAGGCAGCAGTTTTGAAGCTGAAGTAACTTTTATATCATGGTGTTTAACTATGTTACTGAAGTTAATGGTTATGGATTGTTGTAGAAGCCGGAGCAGAAATGGATTCAAAAGGGAAATGGATGAGCTCATGGGACAAAAGTCCATTTGTGGTTATTTGTGATGACGGTTTGATACACGGTTCAGCTCAGTCCCTAAATAGGTAGTCACAAGGCAGGAGGGTGCTGTCCTGTCCTGGAGAAAGGAGCAATCTCCTGGGTCCTCCAGTTTTTTGTATTTTTTCCCTAAGCATTGGGATGGGCAAATGCTGGCTGGAGAACCTTTCACTGGCACTGGGGCAGAGGCTCCAGCATAGGGGTGCAGCCATGCTAGGGGGACATGTCCTGCTCCTGCTGTGGACACCCAGACTTTGGCAAAGATATGCTTAAAGAATGGGTCTTTTTTCTTTTCACCTGGGTCGGCTGAGCTATGTGGGTGTAAGCTAGGGCAGGATTTGGCACATTAAGTTTATAATGTGGATCTAATTGAGATGTGTGTTTCCTCAACTTCACTGTCGTTATTTATCGTGTTAACTAGAAGGCAGAGACAGTGCCCACTTCACTTGTTCCCATCTGCATGAAAGTTTATCATTCGATTCATTTCTCTTTATTTTAGCTTTGCAGAAGTGGAGAGGAAAATCACTGAAGTTAACAGTGAGGTAGCGAGGAACAGCGAAGGACATATGGGTATGTAAGGGAAGCAGATGGCCTATCTGACTAAACCACATCATATAAGTTTATGAGTCAGGCAGGTGCTCTTTCCTGCTGTTTTATAGTGATGTCTTAAGGATTTCCCTTTTGATATACGAGGGCAAATCGTCAGCCGAGCCCTTCTCTATCAGAGGCTAATCCAAAAGTAAATCACTCTAAAGCAGCAGGAGAGAGGTCTTGCAAGGCACCCTCTATAGAGATATTCTTTTGTTATAAATCATTGGAGTCATGTTCTTAGGAGATTATGCTGGAAAAAGCAAACAATATAAAAAGGTCAAATACAAATAGTAAAAATGAAATAGTTTGTTGCCTTCTTCTGTCTACTCACAGAGGAGAGTCCACTCAGCCTAGGAGAAGAGATGGCTCTTCAGTCTCACCAGAGTGTGGCTGGAGCCCAGGGATGGGGCTGCCTGGCTTGGGCTGGGTGGAAGGGGGGCAGCGAGGGAGCCATGCTGAGCACGGAGGCGAGATGCACCCAGCTGCCCGTGGGCATCTGTCCAGGTCAGGGGCTGCCCCCCCCAGCCTGCCCTCCGTGCCCCACGCTCTGGGTCTGCCCCTCTGGACACCGGGGATCTGTTCCTCGGGCGTCTGTGGGAGCACCCTTGGGCTGTGCAGCCTGTGCTGGCTGCCTGCACCCTGGGTGCTGGTGGTGGAGAGGGAGGAGGAGCTGTTCCCACAGCCAGCCACCTTGCTTGGGGTTCTGCTACTGGGAGTGTGCAAGTGTGTGTGTGTGGGGCCGCCCCTCGGTGCATGGGCTGGAGCGAAGCGAGGGGTTTTGCTCCGACATCTGTCTCTGGATTGAGTCTAATGGAACCTGGTTAATGGGTAACGCTGTCTCTCATCACTGCTTGTACTGCTGTTGAGGAAAACCCTCTCACCACGATCCTGCTACATGATCAGCCTAGGCATTAAACTGCTTTGCTGCAGCTCCTGGTATAATACCAAAACTTTAGGGAAATGTAAGTGAAAGAACATGCAGGCTGCCGGCCTGCCATATGGACGTGCTGTCTGAGAGCTGGTGGTGATGTCAGCTCAGTGGCACATCCCGCTGTGCAATGCGCAGTGCTTCATTTTGCAGGAGAGATTTATTCCTCGTGCTTTAGTGTAACCTGAGCCTCTGCCTCACCAGGTAGGAAGCACAAATCCAGGCCCCCAAGCTCTCCTGCTGGGAAGGTGCTCGGTAGCAGTGCCCTTTAGGATCGTGGGCTGTCTCATCAGCTTTGTGCTTGCTCTTCAGCATGCCCTGGTCAGAGCCCTGTGATGTGAGGCTGGCAAGTGGGGTGAGCACCCTGTTCCTGGCCCTTCCTATCATAATAGTCTGCGGTTAGTACTGCTTCCAGAAAACTCTTTGTTTGGAGGATAAGATGGCAACTGTTTCTGCTTGTGGATGTTAGCAACCATCCGCATGAGTCAGGACAACCTGGGGCACTAATCTCTGCTCTCTTGCCTTTCTCTCCTGTTGCAGCTGGCCCCAAGTGGTGTTTCCCATGCGATGCCTCGGGGGAGGCTGCGTTTTGCTGTGGGAGTGGAGGTGATCCTGGTCTTGTGCATTTTACACTCTGTCATGGGGACAAGGTGTACTCCCTCGGCAATGCTAGTAAACAGCTGTGCAGTTTGTTGTGGTTTTTTTTTTTTTTTTTTTTTTCTCCAAATCACAAAGTGTAATTATTAATAATGTGAGTAAACCCACCATAGCTGCCGTTGGGGGCTCTGACACACTTTGGCTCTTTAACATGACATCTCCGCATGGGCGGCCTTGAGCTCCGTCTGGCAGAGCGGTGGGTACTGCACACCCCGCTGCTGCTTTAAAGTAGGTATAAATACTGCCTGGCTGCCCACAGGCTGAGGCAATCCCTTTTCTGTGCCATCCCCGGTTTCCCTGCCTTCTGAAAAAGAGAGCGCTTAATTATAGCAAGGGTCTGGGCTCTGCTGGGGGTGCGACCTGTCCCCTGGCTGCCCGCGGTGGCGGCTGCAGGCCGGCGTGGGGCTGGCGGACAGACGGGGCAGCTCCGTGGGCTGTGGGGCTCCTCTCTGCACGGCGGGTCGGAGGATCTGCTGCCCGGCGCCAGTGGCCGCTGCCGCCCTCCCCAGCTCTGTCACGTCAGCTCAGTAGCAGCATCTCTGCTGCCAGATCACGGGCATGTGCCTCCCCGCAATTATATTTAGACTGTTGGCCGTCCCTGACACGGACTCGGATTAGGAGTCCCCGTGCTGACACGCTGACGGGTCACCCTTGTTCCGTGTCCAGTTAAGTGGTGGGCTCAGCCTGCGCCTGGCGGCCCCCTGGGTTCTTGCAGCCCCCCCCCCCATCGCGGGTCAGACGTGCACCAGGGTTCATCCAGCCCCAGAGGGGTTCCTGCGGGGTTGGCCAGAGCCGCTGGCTCTGCAGGGCTGTTGTGCTCTGCCTCCCAGTGACACCCCATGTGCCACGAGCTGCTTCCCTTGGGTGCCGGGTGCTGCCAGCTTGTTTGCGTCCCCCCTGCTGCTATTGGGGTGCCCCCGCTCCCCAGCCCTGTGAGGCTCACACCTGGCGGCAGTGCCTGAGTAGCACCACGCACAAGATCCACCAGCAGTGAGCACACCAAGCAGTGTGCCGGGAAGGCATGTAGACTCCCCTTAACGGAACAACCACTTTTTTTTTCCTCCCATACATGCACCTTAGCTCCAGCAGGTAAAGCTGGATTCTAACGGCATCGGTGTCCACCGCTCTGCATCTCCAGCTCATCCACAGGGAAGCTTTAGCACCCAGTGCAATGGCTGCACCCAGCTTCTCAGAGGAAAACCAGTGTAACCCAAGTCTGTCTCAATCCAAAGAAACAAGAAGGTCAAATTCAGGTTGCAGAGGCATTCCAAACTTCTGAATGCTGGATTTGAAACGCAGAAATAATGTCCTTTTAACATAGTACTTAATGTGCAATACAGTTTTACGAGTCTCCAGGAGCACAAATGGTCCCCTTGCTGAGTTTAACATTTATGACTTTAAAACTGATGAACTGATTTTCTTTGAATTGAGCTTCACTTTAAATCACCAACTGTGTTTTCTTCAATCTTGGCCAACTCTGTGGGTTTCATTGAGACCTCAGGAGTGCTGAACCTTTGGAGATGGAGAGCTCTGAGGATTGTGAATGTGCAGCCAGCTGCAGGTGTGTGTGGAGTAGAGGTGGCTCTAACAATGCTACTTTGACTTGAGCTGCATTTTACTGCCTGTTGTTTAGTGCAGTAACTGATATTTTTGTAAATCAAACTTCTGTTTTCAAAATGATCCAAAGCTTTTTTTTTTTTTGTTTTTCCCCCCTCTTACGTTGCAACCATCTTTACTGAAGTCTTGCCATGCCACGGCTAGGTTTGTATATCACAGATTCACCCGTCAGTTGAGTCCAGGATGGATTGCTTGAGAAAAGTCATCAGTGTGTGCTTGCAAAGGGTCAAGATGGTGCAAGTCAGCTGGGCAGTGTGGCTGGTGGCGGGGGTTCTGGGCTGGCTCGTGCCCCTCGCCGGCAGCGGCACCGCTCCGCTTCCCCAAACGTCGTGTGTCAGGGCCTGGACGTGGCGCTCGGGGTGCAAGCATGGGGCGAGCCCTGCTTGTCCTATGCTTTGGGCATCTCGGGGGGGATTGGCCTTGGGGGGAGGTCAGCTGCTAAAATCTGAGGGCTGGAGAGGAAGGGGAAAGGTTTTGGAAGACTAAGTGGGCACGTTTGTGCAGATTTTCATGGGATGACAGAAAAAGGCCATTGTTGGTATTAAACCTGCCAGGCGTCCTTAGTGCTCTTGGATCTCTAACCTTCTCTCAAAACACAGGAATATGCT